TATGGAACTTCTGTTAAATCTCCTTAAGAGAAAGGGTGTGCCCTTACATTTCTCCTTCCTTCTATGTAGGATGTTCATAGAATGGCTAGAATCCAGCAGTCACCTTGGATCGTGAGGTAGATGAGAATAATAGAGCAGAAAACAAACTACAGAGCTGTTATACATCAGGACTGTCTACCTCTGGACTTTTTTATGTGAGAAGAAATAAACTTCAGTCTAGTTTAAATCATTGTTTGGCATTTTTCTACTATATATGACCAAATCTAATCCTAATTAATATATTGGATAGGTGAAAGTACTACCTAGATATTAAACTGCAGGAGTAGTTATGTTCATAGAGAAAGGCACAAAGCTTGATACTAAAATATTTACAGAATGAAGGAGAGTGAATGGGTCTGAAAATATCTACAACCAGGAAAGATGGTGGCCAGTACTTCAGTGGAGTAGGGGGACTCGAGAAAGGAAAGAGAAACAGCGATGAGGAGCTCTAGGCAGCATGAGGATTGAAGAAGACACACTTTCTTTATGTTAAGATCCTGACTTTTTAAAAGATCTATTTGTATAAATAAGTTATAGACAGATGTGTTTCAAACCACAACGGACTATTAGATACCATACTGCCACCCCCACGGCAGCTGAATTTAAGGTCTGAATTTCCAGGGACCCAAATAAAACACAGACACACACTTTACCTTTAAACAAGCTTCAGGATGGCTCCTCCGCTCTCGGCCAATGGAAGAGCGAGGAGTAGTCACGAGAGGCTGGCAGGAGAGAGTGAACACGTTCCAAAGTGGGCTTTTATTGGGAGAACCCTCATTCTTAGAAAGTGCCATCCAAAAAAGGTAAGAAGGGGCAGGGTTACAAGGGACAGGTGAGTGTAATTGGACCCAAGGGCTGTAGGGTGATGCCTATGTCTGAAGATATGCCCTCAAACTTCCAGGCCTGGGGCAAAGTCCAAGTCACCATGAGAAGTAGTGATGATCAAAGCCTCTGCACTCCAGGATGGAGACACGAGTCACTCAGAGGATGCCCCACCACACTGACTCAGATCAGTGGTCTATTCCAGAATATCTTCTGAAAGAACATGTTTGCCCCACAGATATTTCAAAATGTTAAGCACCCTGATCTCCTTAATCATGTTTTCTAAAAGTGATATTCACTATTTTTTAAGAAATACCTTTATTTTATTTATTTATATGTGGTGCTGAGGATCAAACCCAGTGCTTCACACATGCTGGGTGAGCACTCTGCCACTGAGCTACAACCTCAGTCCCCCACTGTTTAAATTTTTAAAATCCCAACCACTTTTATCTCCCATGTTACATGTATTCATTCAATTAATTAATCTATGGAGGCTTCACTGTGTTCCAGGCACTATACCAGGCACTAGGAACACATAAATTAACTGCAAAGAAATCTGCCTCCCAAGAATTTATTAGTTCAAAGAGGAACCATGTGAGAGAACCACTTGTTACCACATAGTTTGGTATTTAACAAATACCAACAGGTGTGATATTAACAGGTGTGTTAAAAGCACAGAGGAGCCCAGTAATTCATATTGGGGATCAGGAAGCTCTTCATGGAAGAGTTAACTGATGAACTGAATCTTGAAGATGATGGGGGTGTTATTTAGCCGAAGAATTTATTGAAATTACAACAAAAGAATACACTGAAACATGAAAAATCATGCACTTTGGGAAATTTCAAGTAGGTAGCCTAGAGAATGTTTATTACTATGTTATGGTTAGCCAAAGTAACAAGGCAGGCCCAATATGAAGTAACATTACCTTACTTATGTACATAGCTGCCCTTAATATCGATCTTGTTTGTGGGGACTACTGGCTTCATGTTCTCAGATACAAGAAAACTTATCTAAGTGAATTGAAGAAATTGTCTTTGGACTTCGTATCACCATTTCTCAGTCAATACAATCACAGTTAATACTTACACAGCAATGGAGGTAAAATTTGCTGTTGTAAGTTATGTTTTATTAAGTCAACTTAATTTGAGAGTAATCAGGTAAACATAGTAATGTAGATGAATGTATAGCCAATGTTGTTGTTCTGCTAAGAAAATTCCACTAGACTGTAGCTCTAGGTCAAATCCTGAATCAAATGAATACATTTCTTTTTTTTCAAGTAATTTTTAAATTTTAAAATAGTTTTTGATTTGGGGCAAGGGTTGTAACTCAGTGGTAGAGCACTTGCCTGGCATGCGTGAGGCCCTGGGTTTGATCCTCATCACTACATAAAAATAAATAAATAGAATAAAGGTATTGTGTCCAAATACAACTAAAAAATAAGTATTTTTAAAAACTATTTTTTTTTCAGTTGTAGATGGACACAATGTCTTTATTTTTATGTGGTGCTAAGGATTGAACTCAGAGCCTTGCACATGCTAGGTGAGCACTCTACCACTGAGCCACAATCCCAGCCCCCCAGAAATAGTTTTTGATTTAAGAAAGTTTGCAAAAATATTAGAATTCTTGAATACACCCACCTGGTTTTCCTTACTGTTGACACATTATTATGTCCATTTGTCACAATCATAAACCAACATTGACTTGTTATTATGGACCATAATGCTACTTTACTTATGCCCCAAGTTTTACTTACTACCCTCTCTTCATTCCAGAACACTCCATTCCATTTAGATGACAGGCCTCCTTAGGCTCCTCTGTACTGTGCTCAAAACTGCCTTGTTTTTGATGACCTTGACAGTTTTGAGGTGGTCAGGAAGTCTGTAGAATTTTCCTCAACTTGAGATTGTTGGTACTTTTCTCATGGTTAAGCTGGGCTATGGTTTAGGGGTGAGTGCCACAGAGGTAAGGGACCTTCCCGTCCTATCACATCCAGGGTACCTATGGTCAGTATGACTTATGGCTGTCGATGTTGACCTTGGTCACCTGGCTAAAGTGGTACTTGTTGAATTTTTCCACAGCAGTCACTCTCCCCCCTTTCCATGCTGTAAATTTTGAAAGGAAGTCAATCTATACCACCCATTTAGACAGTCGTGCTCCGTCTCCTTGAGAAGAGAGTGTCTGTATGAATTATTTGGAATTCTTTTGTAGAGGAGAGTTGTCTGTTCCATCTCATTTATTAATTTATTCAATCATTTATTTATATCACTATGGACTTGTGATTTTTTATGTCTTATGTTCTAATAGTAGGTTGTTTATTTTATTGCTGAAATTTGTACACTATTTGATGGCTCCTGTGTCCCCTTGACATATGCTTATTCAGAGAGCACTTCCTTACTCTCTGGCATTACAAGAATGCATTTTTATTTGGTAACCAGATTTAATATAATTAGAGAATTTTTATATAAATATATATACACATATACATGATCTTAATATAAAGAGCAAAATATATAAGTAGAATATATAAATAGAATATTAGCACATATTCATCAATACTAAAGCTTTGCATCTTGAGTTGTTTTGAGTGCAATATCCTATTCACATCTTGCATTCAGCTTGGTTTAGAAATCAAGCAATGATTTTTTTGGTAACCTTACATATTATATGTAGAATGAGAGAATTAAATCAATTTAAAAATACACACTTTAAAGAGGAAACTGGGGTGTTATTAGTGATAATTAGGGGATTATTAATTCAATACATTTACATCCTAAAAGAGGCAAGTTTATATTATAAAAGGAGAACATTTAAGAAGCAAGAGACCTTCAATTTACCTTTTAAAAATAACTTTATTTTATTTATTTAATTTAATGTGCTGTTGAGAATGGAACCCAGGGCCTCATTCACCTAAGACAGCATTCCACCACTAAGCCACAACCACAGCCTTCAATTTATTTGTTTTTTTTTTTTTTTGGGGGGGGGGGGGGGGGGTAGAGGGGATTGAACTCAGGGTCACTCAACCACTGAGCCACACCCCCAGCCCTATTTTGTATTTTATTTAGAGACAGGCTCTCACTGAGTTGCTTAGTGTCTTACTGTTGCTGGGCTGGTTTTGAACTCGTGATCCTCCTGTCTCAGCCTCCCTAGCCACTGGATTATAGGCATGTACCACTGTGCCCAGCTTCAATTTACTTTTGAACAAGAGTAATCTGTAGATTAAAAAATTCTAGATCTGGGGCTGGGGCTGGGGCTCAGTGGTAATGCACTTGCCTGGCATGTGTGAGGCACTGGGTTTGATTCTCAGCACTGTGTATAAATAAATAAAATAAAGGTATATCAATAACTAATAAAAGATTTTAAAAACACTAGATCTACTTTAATAGATAACAAATCCCCTAAATCCTAAGGATTAGAGAAGGAAAAGACCTAATACCAACTTTCAGTTCTCTAGTTCCGGAAAAGTAAATTTGGTGAAATGATAGGCAGCTGTCCAAATAGTTATGTGATTAAGGAGTTTTAACTCTCAAATTTCTAATTATCTTAGTGTATTTATATTAGTTGGATGTGCTTTTACTTGTTCAAATTTATCCTGTAGTTAAGAAATTGGCAGCAATCCAAACTTAAAACCGTTGCACAGCAGCTATTTGTGACTATACCCTTGACGGGTACTTCCAGTACCTTTCCCCACTGGAGTTCAGGGTGCTAGACAGTGACAATTTCTCATGAAACAAGAATAGCAAAACTTCAGCAGATGAGAAGACAGAATCAGCGGCAGCACTGGGATGTAAACCCAAGTTCCTGCTTTCTATTTCTTTGCTCTGTTTTTCAGAACTACATAAGAAAAAGTGGTATTAAGTGGTATTAGAATATTCCTACATTTTAGACAAAACCTCTTTGAATTCTTACTACTAGATTCTACCTGAAGAAATGGGAGAAAGAGTAAGAGGAGACAAAACACATTACACTTGTAGACTTCACTACAGTAGTTGGCAGCTACTTATTTCCTAAACTAAACATCTGATTAGATCCAATCTAGGAACTAAGAGATCAAAAAAGATAGGACAGCTGCTTTAAAAAATCCCAGTTTTCTCAACCAAGTAGAACCCATGGGTAGATGTTAAATTATTAAAACAACCTATGAGCTTAGAAAATTGAAAGTAATTTCTTTATTAAGAAAATAAAGACACGTTGCTTAGGGTAAGGAGCAAAAATGACCAGTTATTAGGATAGTGAGTAAAAAAAGATGTCTTATGTATCTGTATGTCTATCACAGACAAACGACTATTTCTCTTCTCTCTCAGAAAATGTATAGTTTTAATATTAAAAACAAAAATTGAGCTTTTTAAATAGAAAATCAAATCCTATCAGAAGAATTACATGAAGTCAGTCATTTTTAAAAATTTTTTTAGTTGTAGGTGGACCCGAGACCTTTATTTATTTATTTTTATGTGGTGCTGAGGATTGCACCCAGTGCCTCACACGTGCCAGGCGAGCGCTGTTCCACTGAGCCACAACCCCAGCCTGAAGTCAGCCATATTTTCAGATGCTGATTTAGAATCCCCACCATAATATCTGATGGTCAACAAGGCCACATGTCTGCTAAGGACATCATATAAAGATGAGTAAAGAGTGCCTGAGCTCACAGTCCGGGAATTAATAGAAGGAAAGAGTGACAGATTACAAGAGGAAGGAGCATGAACCAACTCAGATGAGAAGTCAGGATTTCATTGTAGGAAAAGGAGAAACGAGGACCAATGCTTCTGAAAGAGAAATAAAGGTAGCTTTCTGAGCAACAGGGGAGTGAGAGTGCTCAGTTTTGTTAGGTCTGGAAGCCAGGGCACGGACAATGGGACGTCTAAAAATAAGCCATGATCACCGCAAAGAGAATGACGGCCAGCATGAGCCTGCCCACGGCCACTGCTGAAGCTGCGGAATCACTCTTCTCTGTCACCCTGGTCTTCATGGGCTTCCTGATACGGTCATCTGTGGAAAGGATGGTTTTTCGAGCCCCATCCCACTTTCCAGGGCCCTGTAGACGAAACTGGGCTGGAGTACAAGGTCCCCAAAGTAACTGTGATGCTAGCTTGGGGTCACTGAAGGCCAGAGACAGCAGACTGGGCCTGACTCCCACCAGGTCAGCCATCTCTTCCATGCTGTCAATGTAGTCTCCCTGAATGGTATGGCGTTGGCTTTCCACGTACCTAAATCAGAGAAGACAGAAGCCATGGCCTATCAAAAAGGCGATTAACTAGTCGATCGATCAACATACATATTGTACTGATTTTATACTGGGCACATGGTACTGATTTAAAAAAATTTTTTTAGTTGTTGATGAACCTTTATTCATTTATTTATATGTGGTGCTGAGATTTGAACCCAGTGCCTCATACATGCTTGGCAAGTGCTGTACCACTGAGCCACAGCCTCAGCTTGTATTGATTTTAAATTAGGCTACAAACTGTAGTAAATAGTGAAAAAAGATATTTGTCACCATTCTTAGAGATCTGATAATACACCAGAAGAGAGAAGATTGTTGTATACGTAACAGAACATACAAGGGTTTTGCTAAATATTGTGGGTTTGACTGTTAAATAGAAATTTTAGAAAGGGTAGTTAAAAGAGGGCTATAGGGCTGGTGATGTGGCTCAAGCGGTAGCGCACTTGCCTGGCATGCATGTGGCCCGGGTTCGATCCTCAGCACCACATACAAACAAAGATGTTGTGTCTGCCGAAAACTAAAAAAAATAAATAAATATTTTAAAAAAATTCTAGAAAAAAAAGAGGGCTATGATAGGTCATTGAAGATTTGAAAGATATAGATAAGAACAAAAAAATCAGGGAACACAGCCAAGTGAAGGAATAAAGCAGGAATGGGCATAAACGTCTGTGGTCGTTGCCTAAGTCAGTAGAGAACAAGAATGGACGACAGCACTCCAGACACAGAGGACTCTGACGAGAAAGAGGGAATTCACCCCAAATCCTCAAGCATGGGATTCTCTATTTTGTGAGGCCAGGGTAGTGAGATGGGTAGGGGGTGTCCACAGATCAGGGCTTCCCAGCGAAAATGTTAATTTGGAACCCTGAAAGGACCAGGGAGGGGACTTATCTCACAAGAAGAAGTGGCCCTCCCAGGGAGCCAGATGGAGTGATTATACCAAGCGCAGGTCTGGAGAGCTAAAAAGACTTCTTAGTGAAAAAATAGTTGACAGTAAAGTATGTGGAAGAAGTGTGACTTGGAGACTTTCACTTTTTATTTTCTATAATGAAAAGAAAGAACAATGGAACACAAAGCAAATAAGAGGAAAGTCTTTAAGCTAATTGAGGAATCCAAAAACGAAGACAGGAAACAAGGATTAGAAAATGAATTTTTGGTAGAATTCTTGAGGTGGAATTCTGGAGGAACTGATAGGTGGTCAAGCAGTACCTTATCAAAATAGGGCTGGGATTTTGAGGAGATGAAACAGGAAAGAACCTGAGAGCTCTCCTTCCTGGAGATGATATTAACTCAGGCGTCGGCACCCGTGCATTTACTCATCTTATAATAGTAGGTCAAGAAGTGGAGTTTTCATGAGGGTTCACGGCCTGTGGGGTGGTTAAGAGGATTAAATGAACCCCAATGCCCATGAAATGCTGAATGTGAGCAAACTGTCAACCCTCAGTGAAGTTCAGACTATGTCCTGGGGGACTGCTCACAATCAGAAGGTGGTCGCACAAGGTTGAGTGAAAGGAAAGAGAGCAGGAAAGTCCAAATAAGAGAGTTTGGTGCCAGAAAAGAAGGGAAAGGAAGCCTCCGGGAAGGGAGGGTGCTTAGAGGTGCCAGCTCAGGAGTGAGAGCAAGGCGCTGGTCATGGCTGCCCTTCAGGGGAAGCATGTGGGCGTGAGGAGGAAGTCGGGGACACTCGGACTCGGGGAAGCAGAGGACGCAGGACCTTTGCCACAGACGTGCAGCAATGGAAGGGGAGGAAAACAGGAGAGCACTGGTAAGGACGGGAAGATGGAATGAAAGTCACCTTCTCTCCTCCAAGATAGGCCAGAGCCATGCTGTACAGTCAGTGGCAGAAACCACCATTTTGGGCCTGCAACAATCAATTTCCACGTAAAAACAACCTGGGATTTGAGCTCAAGTTCTGAGATCCAGACGGCCACATCATTGTGTCCACAGAAGCCAAGCAGCCAGGTGCTGTCACTGCTTTACCAGATCACAGGGGGTTTTCACGCTCAGCCCTGTGACCTGCGTGTGCTGTCCACCTGATGGCAGCCAGCGAAGCAGCCACGTCAGGTCTGTAAGTCTACTTAGAACTTGAAATCACCGTTGATTCACCACACCCTTCCTTCCTTTGGCAGCTCTGTTAATACTTCAAGTAACCCTCCCCCAAATGATACACCTGATGGTTTTCTCAAGGAGCTTTTTCCTAACTTTTAAGTCCTAAACATAGCCTTTATACCGCCTTTATACACTCCCTTGAGTTTTCTCTCCTTTCCCATCCACATTACACTGCTAGTGCTATTTCCCCATTCTGTTGTCACAATTATCATTCCCCTCTTATCACAATATAATCAGAATTCTCAAATTAACAAGACGAAACTAAATGTAGTAGAATATTGTTCTTATTAAAAATAAGTAGAAAAAGTTACATACATCTTCTTGGGAGAATTTCTTACCTTTTTGCCATTTTCTCTTGAGTCTTAGATATATCTGCCATCATTTCACTTTGTGAGGGCAATTTCTTTAGCCCTACAGAGAAAAATTTTAAATTTAAGTGTAAATTACCTCAATAGAAACAATGATCCTATTAACAATTACTGTGCTATGGAGAATTCAAAGAAATATAGGATGATTCTCTATACTCAAAGAGATTACAGTTTGCTTGATCACTTGATCTTGCCATGACCAAAATATAATAAGTTGAGCATATCTCATCACAAAAACAGAAATCTTAAATGCTCCAAAACCCAACACTCTTTGAACATGGACAAAATGCCCCAAGTAGAAAATTCTACACATGACCTCATGATAGGTCATGTCAAAACACAGGCACAATGTTATTGTATAAAATTACCCTCTGGCTATATTGTGTACGGTGTATATGAAAACTAAGTGAATTTCCTTTTTAGACTTGGGCTTCATCTCCAAGATAGGTCATTATGTATATGCAGATATTCCAAAAATCTGGAAATATATTAAGTTCAAAATAGCTCTGGTCCTAAGGAGTATTCACCGGTATCAGTACGCGTAGTTTATTCTGCTTTGTCTTTGGAACATATTTACTGTACTCTGCCTTCCAACAAATACCTGCCTCCTCCCTAACATAGTCTTTGAATTGGCAACCCCCAGGTCTTAACTTCTTTACCCTGAACTTCTCCAGCAACTTCATTTGTATTTCACATGATATGCTCTCACGTTCCTTACACCATGTTCTCCCTCCTTATTCAGTGGATTCCAGGTTCACTCTATGATGTCTTTAGGTGGTAGTCTGACCATTTAGAGAACTGTCACGAGGTTCTGAGACGTGCTAGATTGAATGAAGCCTTTTGGAACCCTCCTCACCCGCTGGTTCCTACTGAGCCTACCATCCCAAAGCTCAGAGTTGTTTTCCCTCAGGTACTCCTGGTCAGAACTCAAAGGGGGGACACGGAGGGACGCGGGGTAGTGGGGATGTGAGGATTTGAAAGTTGAATATTTTATATTCTGGATTATCTCCTACCGGGTGTTAACTTATTGTATGAATTAAGTCGCACCATTTCTATATTTGACATTCTCTGTAATGAAAGATGAGATTCTTTTACTTCACAAATACATACCAGTTGTCTAAAATTCAGATGAGTGGATTCTAATCTGAAGTACACATTGGAATCTTCTGGGGAACAACTTTGTGCCTGCCCCTCCCAGATTTACTGAATAAGTATCACCATGGATGAGATCAAAGCATGCCTAAGCTGGGGAAACACCCAGGTGATTCTAAGGTAGGTCTATGGTCATAATTACTACTTAGGTTCACTTAAAAATAAGTTTTCTGGTACTAAGTTTGTGCCAGATATTATGCAACCCTCAAGATTTTGGTCAAACATACTGCTATTTAAAAGCAAGCACAGAAACGTAGTCAATCATCACCAAGTAATTAAGGAGTGAATTTTTATTGTCACTTACCTTTAAATACTTGAGTGGCCCAGCGTCCTTGGAGCTCTGCAATCGGCATAATGGCTCCTAAGGGCTGAATCAAGCCTATGATTGCAAGAGTTGGCTTTTCTAGGTTGGGAGGGAAGACCTTTTTATATAGGGATATCTTATTTTTGACCACTTTGATAGAATCTTCCAGAAAAGGAAAGGCGAAGCTGTAGCCCGTGGCAAAGATAACAGCATCAATGTCATCCTCCCTAGAGCCATCCTCAAATACGGCAGCTGTCTCTGAGAATTCCTTCACGTTTCCCTTCACCTTCACCAAGCCAGAGATGATGCGATTGGGCAGATCGTCATTCACTGTTGGATGCTGGCTCAGAGCTCTGTGAGTGGCATGAAGATGAAGAGAAGGAGAAATGAGAGGGACCGAGAGAGGGAAAGAAGGGGAGAGAGAAATAAACCCTGTAAGTAAATTTTTGCTTTGGTGGAGGTGGTTAAACAATAATACGTCAACGGTGTCCCCTCGGTTTACCCATGAAATTTGGAAAGTCCCACTTTACACCAGTTTTACTTTATATCAGCTTTTCAGGGCTCAAGGCTGAATGGGCTGGACCCTGCAAGTCACTGAAGGGGAAGGTATTGGAGAAGTGAAGGATAAGAGTTTTTTGGAGGAGTGCATATGTGGTTGTTCATGTGATAGTAATGCTCCATGGTGTCACAAGGCCACAGGCCAGTCGTTCCTGTCCACATATCAATCAGTCTGACAAAACTTGACTATTAATGTCCTGATCCATTTCTAATTCCAAAGAGGTAGACTTAGACTTTCATTTTCCAAACTGTGGAATAAATTACACATGTACAGCAAGTTAGAGTTCAGATTACATTTCCATGCGTTAAGTTATTTGGCAGTCAAATAAACTCTATGGAGGGTAGGTGTCATTATCCAGGTTGTATAGATGAAGAAACTGAGGTCTAGAGAAGTTAAGTGACTTGACCAATGTTCTACAGCCTAGGATTTTAGAATTTCTGTAAAAATAGTTTTCTATACTCTCTTGGGATACTTTGGACCTAGAGACAGCATGGAATAAGGGTATCAGAATAAATAAGCCAGGTTTCCAGTATCCTGGGTCTGTAAAAAACAAGTCTTGATTCCTGAGCCTCGGGTCAGCAGGCGCCGAGACCCCTCTCCCCACGTCTTCCTGGCCTAGCCTCAGGAGTGTCATGTGTCTTACGACGACACCCGACGACACCCGAGCTGTGGGAGTCAACGTGCTTGGATCCGAACCTCCAGGAAGACGGCGTTCTGCATTCCAGCCTCAGGGCTTCATCTGTCTCTCTGACACTGCTTTTCACTAGCGCGCCACCATCCACACAGTTGCCTAAGCCACAGAACCGTCTCCTGCCTGCTCACCAAGCCTGCGTTCTTCCTCCCTTAAAAAGGAAGACTGCCTAGAATAGTTCTGTCCACTAACTGTCTCACCTGAACAACACAGTTGTCTTCAGGGCTCCCCCATCTCCCCTCTATACCATTTGCCTTAGAATCAGAAGGGCAAATAAACATGATTTTAGGATCCTTGATTTAGAAAAGAAAAAAAAAGGTATAAAGAATATTGTTGGGTCAGGTGCAGTGACACATGCCTGGTCATTCTAAAATAGATTTATTATAGACTTATTATTACATCACTCGCTTGCTTAAATTTAAGACGTCATTCACTTGAATGGATCTGCTGTCTTCATTCCAAACTTTTTTGTGTTTCCCCTGCCAGGGCTGAGGGCCGAACTCAGGGCCTTGTGCATTCTAGGCAAGCACTCTGCCACCGAACTAAATCCTCAGCCCCCTATACTTTTTATTTAGAAGAGCATACAAAAGGTTTCATGCCTGATAGACCTAGAGATGTATTCAACTACTCTTCTAGCTTTGCCATATAGTCTAGGTATACCAGGCTACGTGCAGGTCTCGGGGCATAATGTGCCTTTTGCTATTCTAACATATTACAATTAGAATGCTACATGCTGACCCGATTTGACTACCTTTTATTATTCAATAAAACCTCAATTTGTTTTGCAACTACAAAACATATTCATGCTTAAATAATTGAATGAAAAGTTGTTGGGGAACACTGTGTCCAAGTACCATCCCACTGATTAATTTCAAGGGGAAAACTATCTTTGTACTGGAGAAACCTGGTGCATGCCACTTTTTACACACAATCAAATTTAGCATCATTAATATGAAATAAACTGACATCATGTGGGTCCTGACGGGATTCTCCAAGAAGATAACATCCCTTAATGTAGTATATATGCCAAGATACAATGCAACTCAAAATTTAGAGATAGTCTACAAAAACCATGCCTTAGAAAGAAGAAAGAGGAGGAGGAAGAGGAAATAGGAAGAGGAGAGGAGGAGGAAGAAAGGAGGAAGAAGAGGAGAAGGAGAATAAAAGTCCATGTTAAAAAAAAATGAATGGCCAGGCATGGTGGTGCATGTCTATAATCCCAGTGACTCTAGAGGCTGAGGCAGAAGGACCACAAGTTAGAGGACGGCCTCAGCAACTGACTGAGACCTGTCTCAAAATAAAAAAATTAGAAGAATTAGGGATGTAGCTGAATAGTAAAGCACTCCTGGGTTCAATTCCTAGTATGCAAAAAAAAGAAAGGGAATAGAGAATTAGTATTTCAGATTAAAAAAGACATGACAACTAATGAAATGATGTGATTAACATTTTTTAGAATAGAAAAAAACTTATTATAAAGAAGATTATTAGGTTGGTTGCAGTGATGTACACCTGTAATCCCTTGGGAGGCTGAGACAGGAGGATTTCAAGATCTAGGCCAGCCTCAGCAATTTAGCAAGGCCTTAAGCAACTTAGTGAGACCCTGTATCAAAATAAAAAATAAAAAGGGCTGGGAAAAACTCAGTGATAAAGTGACCCTGGGTTCAATACCCAGTACCAAAATTTAAAAAGAAAATATTATTGGGATATCTGTAGAAATTTGAATATGCCAACATTTTAGAAAATTATTTTATCAATGTTAAATTTCCCAAATGTGATCATTGTATTATGGCATGTAGGGGAATACCCTTTTTCTTGGGTATGTTTTAATGATTTTTACTTACTTTCAGAAAAAAGATATGTCCTTAAGTATGTGTATATACTACATATTGTTTGGATCTATCTTCCATGAGGGAAGAGATAAAAAGCAAATATAGCAAACTCTATGTCAGGAGAATCTAGGTAAAAGATATGACTTTTCTGTAGACGTGAACATTTTCAAAAATAAAAGGCTGGAGAGAAAAGTCACGTAGAGTCAGTACACAGGAGGCTTTCACATGCCCTCCTCTGTCCGAGAGCCCACCCTCTGCTCCCACTGCATCCCGTGCATCTCTCTGTCATGTCCTCTTGTCTGTCTTCCCATTTGTATATTCAAGGTAAGACCCAATTCTGAAGTCTTCCATCTGTTACTCATGTTGATCTTGGGCAAATGACTTAGTTTCTCTAAGTTTTGATTTTTTATGTCTGTAAAATGGATATAAAAATGGCATCAACCCATAGGGCCGTTTGGGGGATTAAATGAGATTACACACACACACACACACACACTCATTACTGTGCTTAACTTTAAAATGTCTTTGAAAAAGGCAAGGTATTATTTTTATTATTATGTCTTTCTCTCTGTATTTCATGCCCAATATAATGCCTTGCTCACAACAAACAGGTGCCCCATGTTTGTTGACTGACTGAATGAGGCACTGCCCTCTACTACCTTTTTATTGTTGTTGGGCACCATATAAAAAAAAAAACTGACACCTCACAGAATAAGGAAATGGCTGATGCCAATGAGAATGAGTCACACAAACTTTAGACCAGCAGGTCTTGGTCTTCTGTGGTTGATAAGGTAAAGTGGCATTTCAGATTCCCTGGTTTCCTTAATGTCTGGGTGGAGGTAGCTGTCAGCCTGAGTGAACAGTCCTTGGGCCTTGGCCTTGACCACCCCATTCCCATCTGAGCACATACCTGTGTTTAGGCTTCAGGCCAAACATTTCATGATCAAATCTTTGATTCAGACGTTTTTCCAAATATGCATTTGTGAATGCTTGACCGCATATCTTTGATAAACGATGCTTAAGTCGAGAAAGGTGTGCCACATCAAAAGGATATCCATGGTCTGCTACGCGATTCAGGATCCACGCGCCTCTCCTGGTGCTGAGGAACACCTAAGGCGTGGGAAACATCGTTTCCTGTTGTCATTCTCGCTCACACTCGGAAGCACGCTCACTTTCTTCACCATTAAGTTCATACTCACTAGTGTGGCACTTTAGTTCTGTACAATCTTTTTAAAATTTTCCTTCCCCAACGCTGTCCTAGAACATGTCCTGCTGCTGTCCAGCACTACACTTCTGTTCACAGCCAATGCGCCCATTCGTGTGTAAGATCCAGATCAAGCCCACGTCCTCCATGAGAACCACACAGGAAACACTGACCTTTCAGGTTGGTAATTCTCTCTCCCTCCCTCTGAACTTCGCTAGCACTTACCACCTACGGACTCATTAAAAATCATGAATAGGGGCTGGGGCTGTGGCTCAGTGGCAGAGCACTTGCCTGGCATGTGTGAGGCACTGGGTTTGATTCTCTGCACCACAAACAAATAAAGTAAAGGTCCATTGACAACTAAATATATATATATATACATAAAAAAAAAGTCATTCCATAGACCAGGTGCGGCGGCATACACCTTCGATCCCAGTGGCTCAGGAGGCTGAGGCAGGAGGATGGTGAGTTCAAAGGTAGCCTCAGCAACTTAGGGAGGCCCTAAGCAACTCAGCCAGACCCTGTCTCTAAATAAAATAATAAAAGCTGGGAGGCTGGGTTGTAGCTCAGTGGTATAGCAATTGCCTTGCACATGTGAGGTACTGGGTTTGATCCTCAGCACCACATAAAAATAAATAAAGTAAAAAGATATTGTGTCCATCTTTAAAAAAAGGGGGGGGGTGCTGGGGATGTGGCTCAGTGGTTAAGTGCCCCTGGGTTTGTGACAGTCAAGCCCAAGTGGCTCCAGTTTGTAAAACCACCATGCCAAGTAGAAAGGTCATGCCGGGCACAAGATGTTCTTTAACTTTCGCTATAGAAACCCTTAAGAACACGGAACCACCTAATGGGGCTTTACTTCTGTAACTGGGGTGGCCTGACTGCACTCTCCCATTTCTGTAACCTGGCTGGCTTTCATTGGCTGGGTCCCCAAACATCCCTGGTGCAGTTTTCAGGCTTATAAGGAGTGCCCCTGCAATTGTCTGGGGCTGATCAGGGGAACAGCTTTATGTTCGGTCAGTTGCCACTGGTGTGCTTCAATAAAGGCTTGATTCAATTATACGTGAGTGGTCTGGAAGTCAGTTTATGAAACCCTGGGACGAAGCTTTAACTATAACAATATGTGCGTGTACAACTATGGATCCCCTATACAGTATGATTATAATGCACCCATTATGAAAGACCAAAGGTTGTATCTATTTTAACTGTAACAGGTTCAATCCCCAGTACCCTCACCCCCAAAAAATCATGTAATGATAAAACTGAAAACAACTGGAGATCATTTAACCCAAAACTCCAGTCTTTTTGTCTTTGACATTGTTGCATTATTATGAACTATGATTTACCATTTATATCATTTATATGATGTGAAACTTTCTGTGCTCATAATCTGTCTCTCCAGTTGTGTCCAATGGTGTTCTCCACAGTGGGAGGGTTAGCCTGCACCTCTCTCAGTTTCCCCAGCACATCATCATTACTTTCCTTTACTGAGACTTATGACCTGTAATTCCGTATACTAAGTCCTTTGTATTCTTTTTTCTGAGGAGCTGGGGATCAAACTCAGGCCGAATGCATGCTTGGCAAAGGCACTACCACTGAGCTACATCCTTAGCCCTTTTTAAAAAAAAATAAAATAAATTCTTATTTTACTTTGATATAGGGTCTCTCGTAAGTTGTTCAGGTTGGCCTCAAATTTGCAAACCTCCTGCCTTAGCTTCTTGAGTAGCTGAAATTACAGGCATGAGACACTAACCATTTTACAATGTTAACACAACAACCCCTTGAGGAAGCCAATATCATCCTCATTTTATGGGTGAGGGACATCGGGAAGATGAAAAATTTGCCGAAGATCATATAGCTATTAACAGGCAAACTGACGTTTCAACGTACATCTGACCAATTCTAAATTTTGTTAAGAGATGTTCTATTGATTATTGAATAGGAGAAAATAAAGATTGCTAGTAGAACTACAGGAGATTGCTCAGTACTTCTTTGTTCTTTTCTGGCTAAACGTACATGTTCAGAACGGATTAAGGCTGATATTCAGTTACCTGGCAGAGGTATCAGGACATTTTCAACTTTACACAACCCCGGAAGAAGTTTCTGGTAAATAAATTTTTACGGTAAATAAGTATATTGTTTCATAGTCTTTATCTAAGCTCTCATGTAAAAAGACGCCTGTCTACAAAGTATGATTCTTTACTTCGCACATATATCCTCACAGAGAGGAACCTTCAGCACTATCAGAGTTAGGTGCTTTTACGTGTCACAGCTGAAGTACCTGCATGGTCTTGGGGTTCACATGATTTAGGGTAAAGCTTATAGCCTTAGTTAAAAGTTTCCCTATCGATGAGATAGTTACAACACATCCATCCCAAGACTGCTGTGATAATTTTTATAGAAAAGTGTGGCATACCATAAACACTGAATAAATGCTTAATGGCTGTCATATTTATTTTAGCTTTTCCATCAATGCCTCATGCATACTAGGCAAGCACTCTACCACTTATTTTAAGCAAACAATATATTTATAAATCTGGTTTATAAGAAAAACATAAGGAAAATGGTTAAGTCAATATAATCGTGTATGAAATTAACCTGATGAGAAAGGGATGCTTTCACAAAATCATCATACCACAAGGATTATACCAAAATTTCCTTATGCACTGAAATTAATAGATCCACTTGCAAATTTTGACTCCAAAATTTTCTCTTAAACACATTTTAATACGTAAAGCAAAAAGCTAGAACTCAGCAATTAAATTTCTTCAGTTTGCATTAGTGCTGTGAGGGTTGCCCCTGCTATGCAGATGTGATTTTGCTATGTTTTCCCAGGGCTTTCTCACAAACATGGCTGCCTTATCTCCACACCCTGAATATTTTGTTCCTGGGAAATTTTAATTCCATAATGCAGGTTAGATCAGCTCCCTTAGAAATGACCACTTGACAAGCCAAGATATGAAAGAAGACTTTTGCATGGATCCCCACTACCTACACGGTACATCCTTCAACCACGTGTGTTTTTTACTCTTTCTTGTTTATATAATTACTTCCTAATAAGTGTTTGTGGAATTAATTCATGGAATAACATATGAGATCACTTATATATTGATAGATGAAAATAGTACTGAGAGGTTATTGGAAACACGTTGCTGGATAAGGGTCATTTAACAAAATTGTGTCAATAAGCCTCTGGGTTTTTTAAAAATATTTTTTTAGTTGTAGATGGACACAATACCTTTGTTTTATTTGTTTATTTGTATGTGGTGCCTTATGCATGCTAGGCAAGTGCTCTACCACTGAGCACAACCCCATAGTATTAGAGAAGCATAGCATAATTAAAGTTGCTGAAGAACAACCAGGCATTTACCTATTGCTAATAAAGTTATGATTCAATGAAGACAAAAAAATGTAATAATGACATGCCTTTTTCTAGGATTTTACAGTGAAGACACTTTCTTCAACGCTCAAAATCTATGATACAGAAACCAAAACAAACAAAACAAAAAACCAAGGAGATAGAACTTGATTTGGAGTAACTCTCCTTCTGTGCTACCTAACTGCAGGCAACGGCTGGCACAAGCTGTCACATAAGCTACTACACAGTCACTCTTTATGCTGATGTTGACATTGTTTTTGGAAAGATTAGATTGTTTCTTTTTTTCCCATTTGGGGGGCAAAAAGGAAATTCACCCACCATCCTGTTAATGAAAAGTTTTCAATGACCACAGTGTGCTTTCCCCATGTGTATAAGAGCACATTTCTTCTGGCCAATGGACGATTCACACTGTCAATGTTGCATTCTCACAACCTCTTCCAGCAAATACTTGGCTTCATCAAAGCCAGGGAAAGGCTAACTGGGATTGTGAGTGCAACCTGAAGCCGTGGACTTATTCCTTAGTATGAAGCCAAGTGAGTAATGGAACCCTAACCCTAACCACGCCTCTCCATTAGCGTCCATCATAATGCCAACGGAGGCATGAAACCAAGCCCTGTATTTGCCACTGGCACTAGTGGGCAAAGTGCAGCCGACCATACGCTGTGGGTCTATCTCCTTGGTGAGGCTGCAGATAGAATGGCTCAAACCTGCTTGGCTGTGTGGCTAATCTCTACAGCCAGATCCCCTCCGGAATTCCCAATGCCAATTATGATGACTCTTTTTCCAGCAAATGCCTCGGGGTTTTTATAGTCTCGACTGTGGAAATACTGTCCTTTGAACTTCTCAATTCCTGCAAGAGAACAGAAAATAATTATTGGATGATAGTTTATAAGTTGGATATCATTTGTAAAATCTTTCTTTTGTAGAATTTAAAGTTGAAGCACATATTCTCCCTTTATTCAGCTACTTTTGTCTTCTTGAATACTTTGGCTTATTTTTTTCTTCCATACCCTTGGAATAGTAGCTTGTGATTCCTGTATCATAAGTAGTTTGTATTTTGGATTTGTAGACCCACAAATTCAAACTGCTGCCATTCTCTGTGGTCTTTCATCCCCTTAGTTACATACTCCCACTTCAATTAGAGTGTATATGTTTTTGTATACTCTAGGAGATACATAAAGTACATTTTCTAAAAAAAAGTTCAGGCCCCAAACTGAAACTAAATTATTCAAGCTTTCATTTAAGCATTAGAAACTCAATATTTGTTTGTTTCCTCAATTACTGAGAAATTCCATATCTGAACCAATACTGAGTAAGAACTCCACGGTCTTCTTTTTTGATCTTAAGGAAAGATGGTGGAATGAGATGGACATCATTACCCTAGGTACATGTGTGACTGCACATGGTGTGATGCTACATCATATGCAACCAGAGAAATGAAAAGTTGTGCTGTACAATGAATCAAAATGCATTCTGCTGTCATATATACCTAATTAAAATAAATTAATTAATTAAAAAGAAAAAAGAAAACCAAAGTCATTATGAAACTAAATACAATCATGTGCCACTTGAAAGAAATATATACATTCTGAAAATGTTACTGTAACTTTGGTCTCATCATTGTGAAAAAATCACAGAGTACTCACACAGCCCATATTGTACGGGCCAGTCCCTCAGTATAGCCTCTTGATGCCATCAAGACCCACAATAAACAGGAGGCCTGTGAAGCTATCGCTGGTGACATGGCAGACAGCTGTACAGTAAACTTTCCTAGAAGTAGTAGGAGCACACACTAAGAGAAATGTGTAGCTCAGTAATACGTAAACCATGACAGAGTTGTTTGTCAGTATCACGTACCACACACGCAACTGTATGGGCTGTGACCTTGCACAATGGACCGCACACAGGGCTTTGTGCATCGGTGTCACCACGGTGTGGTACTGGTTAGGATACTACTCAGCAACAGAAGATCTCCAGTGCCCTTACCATCTTATGGGATCATCATTCTACATGTACTCCAACCTTGACTGAAATGTCATCATGTGGTGGCAGGATTGTTCACAGACCTCTAGACTCTAAAGTCACCATTGACTCTGGTCCCCAAATGGCGATGATACAGGTCATTCCATCCTCAAGGGAACATGCCTAATGAGGGTCTTACTCCACCCCAAGGTGAAAATCACTTGGACCACAACCCTTCTATTCCTCAGGGTCACAGGCCTGGCTCAAGGGTCGCCTCCTTCCTGGAAGGTCACTCACCTGGAAAGCTTTCCAGGGGCAAGTGAGCATTAGTGTGATGGCCAGTGCAGACCATGACTCCATCAAAGACATCAATCTCCTTTCTTCCTTCACACTCGGTGACCACCTCCCACTGTCCTGAAGTGGAGAAATCAGGCCGCTTCTTCACACTGCACACAGTGGTCTGAAAGAAAAGTGACATACACCGGGCACTTAACCACAGCCTGTACAGTGGATATCAGCCCTGACATGGCTTTTCCTGCAAAATGTTACACCACGGGCTGATACCACAGTGCCATCTCATCATTAGGGTCCTTGCAGGAGTATTTGATTTTCATACTCCATAAAGAACAGCCTTGTTTGGGGCCGTGGTCTGAGTGAGAAACCATAAGGCAGACAAAGTAAGCAGAGTTGACAGACCCATGTACTCTCCTCTGCTTCTAGAAAAGTAGACATTGCTAGGACTCTTAGTCTCTACCTTGAGGCATGATAGCACCTGAATAAAGCCTGGATTTCTCCTGTACTTCTGTGGCACTCTGCACTAAACACCTGTCCCCAAACTCTCCGATGTCTTGTTCTCTTTGGCTAGACTTAAACTTGTGACTATGAGGCTACCTTTCCTGTTAGAGCAGGAACCTATCTCAGTGGCTCTTATTTTTTGTAAAGGAATCTCTGCCTTCTAAATATGCCCACTTCACAAGTTATTCTAAAGAAATAGGTTGTGAGATAGAGTAGTCAGTGGAATAATTTTTAGCTTTTCAAAAATAAATAAATAAATGAATATAGGTAACTCTGCCCAGCCAGGGAAACATCAAGAATACATTCCAGTGTGCCTCTAGGGTCTGGCTATGATGTCTTGGTGACTATAGAAGCACTGTCTAGGCTTCGACCGTCCTGTACCATTCCCAGTCCCTGCCATGTGTTTTCACACAAGCTGGTGCTTCTACTTGGTCACCCTTCTATTCCTTCTTCATCTGAAGACCCCTTCCTACTGAAGACTTGGCTTGGACACTGTCTTCTCCAAAAATCTTTCCTGGGACTTGACTCCTCGGCCCTGATGAGCTACACATCGCCCTTCTGAGGTGCAGCCTCCACGGTACCTGTCACTTGGCTGGTTCCTTCTATGTATAATAATAATTTCCTTCATTTTTCTGCGTCCTTGATGTAGACTGTTAAGTTACTTATGGCTTCTGTCTTTGCATCATCACTGCTTAGTACAGTGACAAACTTGTTCAAGAAGTGTCACCTAAACAAGTGAAGAGAGGCACCACTGGGCTATAAATAACTGGCTTTGGAAATTGTCACCAGACGTTGCCACTTTGTTATTGTGGCTAAACATAAAAAGGTGGAAGGTTTGGACTCTGGGCCAGGTGATATAATATGGCCATGGGTATAAACTACGGGAAAGTCACAGCAGACTTTAGAGAAGGAAGGAACCTCATACAGTACAATCATCTTCTTTCACAGAAAAGAGAATCGAGATAAGTTCAAGTTGAGAAGTTACTTGTCTTAGGTCACTAATGAGGGGCAAGAACAAGGGCCAGAATTCAGGACTTTGTTTCCCACTTCAGTGTTCTACTCTCTCCACCCGATTCAACTCCTTTGCTTCCTCAATAACTTCCCAGTCACTAAGTACTTCACCAGGTTGTTGTGATGATCACATAAAATGATATATTGGAAAGTGCTTCAGAAAGTGTAAAAGAATTAAGCAAGAGTGGGCAGGTTGTGGGACAGGAGGGTTTCAAGTTCCCACACTTATTCATTCCCCTCATCTCCTTGATTGTAAGCAGGGAGTGTGGAATGAAGGCAATGAAAACACTCTGGCAGGTATCTTTCTGAATCTGCAGCCAGAATATGTAAAGAGAGCTTTCCATGGGCATTTTAGAGAGAGGAAACCGAGAGTGGAGTCTTTATACTTGAGTATATCGCTCCAGTATTTACATGTGCTACTGGTTAATGAAACCACGTTCTTCACCTACTTGATGAACAACTTCAAACACCAAGACACCCACAAACTGCCTACCTTGAACTGGATATACTTTAAAAGGTTGAAGTCCTTGGCATACATCCTGAAGTACTCTAGGATCTGGGAATTGTGCATGAAGTTAGGGTAATGATCCGGGACGGGGTAGTCACTGAAGCACATCATCTCCTTAGAAGTGTTGATGATCACTGATTTGTAGATACTGGCTCTTCCTTCTTCAGGATTTTCCTGTAGTAAATAAGAACAACTTGAGAATTAATTTCATGATTTATAAAATAGCCAATGAATAGTTGAAGAAATTTCCTGAAATAAATGACAATTCAAACAAATGACACACATACATGGCCTCCACACCTCCCCCTGTTCTTGTGCCCCTGTGTAGTTCCTTCCCCTTGAATCTCAGTTATCTTTATGACTTGTTTTTGACCAACAGGATACAGTCGAAATGGCACTGAATGACTTTAAATTGTAGTCATGCTTTTTTCCAGAGTATCTAGAATTACAAATAGCCCTCAATAAATGTTTAATAAATGTATGTCAGATTGAATTGAGAAAGGAATGCATAGAAAAAGCAAATTTCACATAAAACATAACAAATTAATGAAATAAATAAAAATTTATTTCAAAACAATGTGAATGAGACATATCTGTCTCATTTTTGAAAATTTTAAAGGAAAATTGTGGAATAATATAAAAGTCAAATGCAAAAAGATACCACTTTATATTATTTAAATTAATTATTATTTAATTAAGTTTGTATTAGTTAATAGTAACTTAAAACATCCCCAAATCTCCGAGTGGTTTAGTTATGTTACAGTATCTCAACATGAAGTACAGTCTATCTTTGACACTATTCCACAGGTATCCTGCTGAATACAAAGGACATCCCGTTACTCCACTGCTCATTGGCTTCTATTCCTTCTGGAAACCAACCTACTTATTCTAAAATTTAGCACTTTTCACATCTAGCCCATTATGGCTTTTAATCTTCATTCAGTGTCCCCTTAACAAATCCCATATTCCTGAGTCATTAAATTATTAGCTGAAATGATCTAGGCTCTTTTACAACTTAAAACTTTTGTGCATATCACTACTTCTTGAAAAATTCCTACCTTCATTCGAGTTATATCAAATGTTACTTTTTTGAGGAAGACTTTCCTGTAGTTCCATTGATCCTCCAAGTCACCAAATCTTTCAATTCATATTGCTATAAAAGCAATGTAAACAGATTATATCATTCTGCATTTGTTTCCATGATTGTAAGGGATCTGAGGGTAATGTACATGCCTTATTATTCTTTATATTTCTGTCAACAACGCAGTCCCTGATATATAGTGAATGATTAATGAAGGCTTAGGAATGAATTAGTTATATAATTATGAGAATGAATCTAGAGACACCAAAATTATGACGTCATTTCTTCCTAACTTGATCTACAGATGCAATGCAATCCCAATCAAATCTCTGCAAGCTATATTTTAGTCATCAACAAACTGATTCTAAAGTTTTTGTGGGAAGACAGAAGTCTAAAAATAGCTAATTTTGTCCTTAAGTATAGGCTGTGTATAATAAGCTTTCTTCAAAGAGTTGAGTATAGCAAAGCAAGAGAGACAAAAGGGATAAAGTTTACTGTGGCAAAATCTGACAAACTCCACTTCAGGGAAGGCATCACTATTAACAAAATAATGATAAGGCTTGCTGACAGAATGTATCTTTGAAATGATATAATGAGAGTGGTATTACCTTTTCAGTATTACTCTCAAAAACCTATAACCTCAGTAACCATGAGAAAACAGCAGACAAATCTCAATTGAAAGGTAATCTAAAAAATACTGACCAGTGCTCCTCAAAACTGCCAAGTCATCAAAACCTAGGAAAGTCTAAAATAATTGTCACAGTCAAGGGGAGCATAAGGAGACATGACTATTAAATGTGATGTACTATCCTGGATGGGACCCTGGAACAGAAAAAGGTCACTGAGGGAAAAGTAAGTAATTCTGAATGAAGAATGGGCTATCAATGTTGCTATAGGAATGCTGTGGGGAAGATACCTGTGGGTAGCTCCGAGAACTAAAAGACCAGCCTCTGTGGCCACCATGGCTTCCAAGAGTTTCTCCGCAGTCTGTTATAGATTCCATTCTATTTCCAGACTGACTCAGCATGGGAACCTACCAGTCAGTGAAAAGTGGAGCCTAAGGGGCCGGCTGGTCTGGGGTATTCAAAGCACAAGTGTACCAAGAACAAGACAAAAATGATAAAGAAAGAAAAGACCCCCTCAAAAACAAAAATCTCCACCAGAAGACTTCTAGGACTAATAAATTAAGCAAAGTAACAGGTTCCAAAATGAAAACACAAAATTAACAGTTTTCCTAAATAACCAATAATGAATTAACTGAAAAAAAAATCAGGAAAACATTTCCAACAATAGCTTTAAAAAAAAAAAAAACCAAAAGCAAAGAAAAACAACTCTAGGAATAAATCTAACCAGGAAGGTAGAAGAGCTCCACAGTGAAAACTATAGTACACTGCAGGAAGACACGGAAGACTGCACTGCAACATGGAAAGACCTCCCTGTCCTGGGTGGGATTCATGTGTTACATGGTCACATTCCCAAAAGTGAGCTACAGATTCAGTGCGATTCTCATCAGAATACAATGGTACTCTTCACCCTCTAAAATTCACGTAGAAGAATATAAGACCCAGAATCTCTCAAGTAATGCTTAGCCATAAAGCAATGCTGGGGGCACCACAATTCCCAAGTTTCAAATCATACCTCATAGCTATAATATCAAAGACAGTGTGGTATGGCGTACAGACAGACATGGAGGCCAGGGGAACAGAGAAGGAGCAGACAGACCCACACAGATACGGTCAGCTGATATTTGACAAAAGTGGCAAGAACACAAGTTGGAGAAAAGACGGCCTTTAAAAAAATGGAACTAAAAAACATGATGTCCAAATGTAGAGGAACGGAACTAGGTCCTTATCTATCAGCTGCACAAAAGGGACTTGAAGTGAACCGGAAACTGAGGAAGAGGTCCAGTAACTCTGTAACTACTAAAAGAAAGCACAGAGTCAACACTCCAACATAGGCTCAGGCACAATTCCCTCAGACTCCTTGGGAAAGACCCAAGGGCTGATACGAGGGAGGACATCCAGTTTCAAAGCCTTGTACGTCATAGGGAAAAGAAGTGTGGAGAGAGCCCACAGAAGGGGAGAGCATCTTTGCCAGCTACTCTTTTGACAGAGGATTAATATCCCAGACATAAAGAATTTTAAAAAACACCAAAAAATAATAACCCAGTTAATAAATGGGCAGATAAGCTAAACAGACATTTCTCAAAAGAAGAAATACAAATGAATAACTAATGTCTGTAAAACTGTTCAAAATCTTTAGCCATCAAGAAAACGAAAATCAAAACTACACCAAGATTTTGTTTCACTCTAGTTAGAAAGGTATTCATCAAAAATACAAATAATAATAAATGCTTGCAAGAAGGTGGGGAAAAAAGAAATCTTTATACATTGTTAATTAGTACAACCACTAAGAAAATCAGTATGGAGTTTCCTCAAAAGTCTAGGAATGGAATCACCATATGGCTCAGCGATACCACTCCTTAGTATTTATCCAGAAAAATTAAAGTCAGAATACTACAGTGATAGACGCATACCCATTTATTGCAGCACAATTCACAATAACCAAATTATGGAATCAGCTTAGGTGTCCATCCACAGGTGAACAGACAGAGAAAATGTGGCAGACGTACACAATGGAGTTTTATTCAGTCATAAGAAAGATGAAATTATGTCATTTGTAGGAAAATGGATGGAACTAGAGAAAATCAGGCTAAGTGAAGAAAGTTAGACTCAGAGAGTCATGTTTTCTCTCCTGTGTGGAAGCGGGAGTGAAAAGGGGAGGGAAGGGAGTAGACCAGTGCGGTAGAAGATGGGAAGGCAAGAGGAGGTACCGGGGAATGAAACTGACCAAATCATGCTATGTGCAGGTGCAGATACATCACACTGGATCTCACTGTTATGGATAATTATAATGGTCAATAATTTTTTTTCTGTTTCTTTTGTGGCACTGGGAATCAAACTCAGGGCCTTGAACATGCTAGGAAAGCACTACCTCTGAGTTATAGTCCCAGTTTGCCAATTTAAAAAAAATAAATAAAGGGCTGGGGATGTAGCTTGGTGGTAGAATGTTTGCCTAGCATGCCCGAAGCGCTGGGTTCAATCCCCAGCACCTCCAAAAGCAAAACAACAACAAAACCAGCTATGCAGTATAAGACTATAATATGGATATATGTTATTATACATTTATGCAAACCCATAGAATATGCAAAACCAATAGTGAACCTTCCTGTAAACCAAGAGCTGTGAATGATGGATAATCTGTCATTGATCGTAGCAAATGTAGCACACTACAGGGGGATGACGATAATGAGGCAAGCTGTGCACCTAAAAAGGCAGAAGCTCAATTTTGTATGAACTTAAAACTTATCTAAAAATAAAGCATATTAAAGCATTTAAAAAAAAAAAAGAGGAAGGAGAGGACATGAGGGAGTGAGTTGGAGCTGAATGGGCTGGAGGGGTAGAAGGTACAACAAGGGGGAAAACGACTCCCACTGGGTGGGAGGAATGACGACAGCGTGGTCTTCTGTTTCCCTGTGGTGCTCCACAAACCCCACGCACAGGAGCGCTGTTTGAACGGTACTTCCCAGTTCTGGTGTCTGCACACTGAAATCAGATGGAGAACTGTTCAAGAAACGCTAGAGCCTGGGCTCTCCTCCTAGGAATTCTTCTGAGTGCTGCCTGTCTAACGTGACGACAAGTCTGAGAACTGCCAGTCAGAGGCAGTGTGCTGGCCCTGGAGAGCTCACAGCTACTTACTCCATCAACTGCAAGTCCTTTCTGCAATCACCCTCAGCTAAACCGCAAAGTGCCCGAGGGCAGCGGGAGGAAGTCAGGTCTCTGCATCTCCGCACCCTCTAGGGACAGTCTCAGCCCAGAAACGTGTGTGTCATAGATGACCACTGGTCTTATTGTAAGGACACAACATCATCCTTATTTAAGACCTGGGAAAGCTGCGGTAGAGGCTGTAAGGCCTTTGCCTTCACATCAGTGTGTATTAGAAATACCTAGCAGAGAGCTCCAGATCAACACCCAGAATCTCACAAGTGGCTGACATCCTTTCCTGTTAATGTTCCCCCAGGGATTAGTTCTTCAGTGTACAGCTGGACATTCCTCCCTCTTAAGTATTTTTTAATCCACTTATTGTCGTCATCGTCTTCTTCTTTTGAGAAAGGAAGAACTATGAAATTTATAGTTTTTTAAAAAACATTTCATTTAAGGATGTTTATTAATTAATTTTCTATTTTAAATCAACACTGATTAAACAGCAACATTTTACATTCCGTGGTGTATCTATTGTCTATACTTTATAACTTTATTATGTGATGCAGTTATCTTATCAGCAGCATAAATATCACTTAGGGCTTGTTAGAAATGTGGAATCTTGGTATACCCTAAATTAATTAATCAGAATCTCCAGTAATTCATGTGTACACTGAAGTTTGAAAAGCATAGTTTAGCATGCTTTAATAATTCTTAAAAATCCAGTTTGACCAAAAAATAGCAATGATTATTATATAGTATGGAGTTAAATCCTCAGTATTTTGTAAGAAATTTATTACTTTTTGAAGCTATTGCATCCATAAGGTAACATCAAATAAATGGGTATATATCACATTAGCGCTTACTTTCCACCATCAGTCTTATTTAATGTTAATGAAGAGATCAAGAGTTGACTGAAATTAATGTCTTGAGAACTTCTATGATTACTATGAGACAGTATTCAGCTGCACCAGGAGAAGGCTACACCAGTTTGGTAGGTGGAACATGAAAGGAAAAGAGAGAGGAAAATACAAATGGTGGTATCTGAGAAAACACTTGTTTGGCAGATAGAAAACAGAAAGGAATCACGGTAGGAAGTACAAATGGTACTATCTGAGAAGAAAGTAAAAATATACTGAATCCAGGAACCTGTCAAAGAAAAGGGAAAACGGAAGCCCTGAATTCCCAGTGTTCTTACTGAACATCCCGCAGTGGAGGTGGAATTCCAAAGTGCTTAGACCAATTCTACATACGAAACCTCTAACAAATAATAGAAAAGTTTTGGGGGGTGGAGAGATAGCTAGACTCCAAATAACAAGCAAGGGAGTGATAGAGAAGCATGTCTCAGAAAAAATTCTCAACGTGACCACCAGCAGCACGTAAGATACTTCAGTCCAACATTAAAGGATGTTTATAATACCTTAGTCTCCACAGCTAATTAACTGTGGAAAATGTGAGAAGGAGGGTCACCAGCACGGTAAACATTTTTAGTAGCCGCTGATGACAGTTTCCTTCTCAGGAATCCACACATTAAACATACATATATTGGGAAGCTAATATACACCAGGCATCCTTCTTGGTCTAGAATATAATGGTGAGCCCTATAGGCATGTCTGTGTTAAGAGAAGTCAGAGTGTTATGATGAAACAGTTTTCCCCCCAAGGAAGCAGTTCATAAGGTATTGAAATTTTGCCCAGAAGATAATAATGAAAAAAGTCCCCATGCTGTATTTTCAGCAGGTAATAATTTTAAATCGCTTTAGAGATAAAAACCAGAAACATGTTAATCAGGAAGGATAATGGCTACCCTCCCAACATCATCTCTGCCTTACCTGATTTCATTCCTTTTTGGTAATTGCCAAATCCAGCTACAATGTGGGGGTCCCACTCTAGGCCTGAAGAATAACTGACATGTAGCACTATGCAGAACCAGCACTTTTGTAAGTGATTGATGTAATTATTCATCCACTTATTCCCCAAGATAAATATTTAAGGTGGGTATTACTATTATCCCTTTGTAAAGATTAAAAAACAGTGGGCACAGAGAGGTGTAATGATTTGCCCAAGGCCATACTTCTTGTATAGGACAGTCTTTGAATCTAAAGCAGTGCTTTTAACCTGCACACTAGGGTGTGACTGGATTCCAACAGTAGAATTTTCTGTTAACTAAAAAGCGAATTAACAGGTTTTTCAGCCCACATCTGACTGATTCTGATAAAGGTATAGGGATTTGCTACGGGGATCCATTGTAGATATGAATAAGAGTATTGTCAGATAGAATTAGTTCCCAAAATGAAGCCAAGATATAATACTTTTGTTCTACAAAGTAATGTCATAAGGCCACTTTTTAAATTTTATTTTTTTGTAGTTGTAGATGGACAGAATGCCTTTGTTTTTATGTGGTGCTAAGGATTGACCCCGTGCCTCACACATGCTAGGAAAGTGTTGTACCACTGAGCTACAGCCTCAGCCCAATCTACTTTTAAGCAGTTGGCCAACACTGTGTTGGTTTTTATGATGGGAAATATATCCATGGCACCTCAATTCCATTCACTGGTTCAGAAAATGAGTTTAAAAGCAAATCAAGTTAGAGATCAGTGAAGATGACTGATATTTTTGGCACTTAATAGTTCTTTGTCATTTAAGTATATGATATTTTAAGTGGTCACTAACAAGTTGCAGGATTGGATGCATATTCAAACAATGTGACTCCACAGCTGCGTATATGCACGGACATGGAAACCAAGGTGCATGTGCTCTCTGCCCTCTGCTCTCTCCTGAAAGACAAAGGACTGTGAACTTCTCAATGCAAGAAGTTTAAAGCAGACAATTCTATCAGAGTTTATATTTTATTCAAGGACTAGAACTGTCAGAGAAATAGCTGGATTTTCTTAAAAGGAAAAATGAGGTTGATGACTGAAGGTGGAGGGTGTTCCTGGAAGGAGTTGTTGGCAGGTGATTCTAGCTCATTTATCTTTAGGACACATCGGAAGCCACCACTCCACATTTTCTAACCCCCATGTGCTTTCTAAGGTGTGTGGCTTCTTACTCATTCTCCCCTCTTCTGAAAAACAGCAAAACTAATATAAGAAAATGTCCTCTGTGGATTTTATAAACAGTAGAATAGGGAAAAGAGTCACATGTGTGATGCTTTTGCAGCGCACAGAGGGAAAGAGAAAGCCTCATAAAAGGTGGGGTGGGGCTGTTAGGAAGCCAACAGGTTTAGTCACTATCAAGCTCGCATATTACCTGACATGAGGTAGCATACTGCACGCACCCAGCTGCCAGGAGGGATTCAAGTACTCAGGGACACAAGACTGACCTGATACCTCCAGAGCCCACCAATGTCACCAGTCCTTTCAAAGCAAACAGGTTCCAAGTCCTCATCCAGACAGCACTTGATAGAAGAGAGCCCGGAGGCTCCAGCCCCGATCACAGAGATTCTTTTCTTGGTCATGGTCTTCAGAGATCTTCACCTGGCTAGGGCAATGCCACTTGTCCTGAAGAAAGAACAGGAGACAGAAAGCACACGTGTATCAACAGTTCTTAAGAAAGACAGCTGCCTTCACACTCAAATAAATGCTGCAACAAGAGGTGACTTTGGGTTGCCCTCTTTAGAAGGAAGCTCCTGCAAGGCCCAGAGCTGAGGAGCGCTGTGGTGTCATCTCACTCTCTCCTGAAGCACCTGACTGACCCTTCAGCTGAGATCGGAAAGTTACTCTGGCTTTCTGCTGTAATGACAGAAATGGCAAGTACCAGCCCAGCCCAGGGGCAGGCACACCTGGCACACCTGGCCCCACCGCCTTTCAGCCCACACCCCACCCGCTCATTGGCACCAATTCTCCCTCTCTTCACTGGAAGAAAATGTGGGTTGGACCTGCTTTGGACAGGAAAAGAAATCCTGTACAACTTGTGTGTTTTTCAGCTGCGGTTGTGGGCGGTGCCCTTTGACTCCCTCTGGAGAGAGGTCTTCTCATCTCCTGAGCTCCCCACCGGCTGCCTCCACTTTTAACTTCCTGCTTTTCCCTTAAAGGGACACACTCCTACTACTGAAGCCAAAGTGTAAACAACTCCCAAGCAAGCATGATGTGAATGCCTAAATGCGGAACAACTACATTCCTGGGCATCCATCCAAATAGGTGATCCTACCCTCTTCTCTGCCTCCTCCCCACCTCATGGCCTGTATCCTGGCTCTACCCTGCTGGTAGAAATTTACTTTAAAATCCCCAAGCATGTTTTAAAATGCTTTTAGCTGAACTCTAGCTGGCTTCATTTCAACTCTTTAAAATCTGGTTAAAAATAGAATCTTTGACTTAGACAATCATTTTACTCAATCAGGAAGATGCCTGTCCAATATATGGTCTGAATTATATTAGAATACAGTTAGCACACAATGGTGAACAGATGGTCTCCACATCACCTCGTGGGAGAAGGAAAGAAGTGAGGATCAAAGGTGGAGTCCTGTGTGTGTGTGTGTGTGTGTACATATGTATATACATACATATATGTGAGGGGAGAAGTTACCAGGGATTGAACCCATGGGTACTTAACCACTGAGCCACATGCTGTTATTTTTTATCTTGAGACAGGGTCTCACTAAGTTTCTTAGGGCCTCACTAAGTTGCTAAAGCTGGCTTTGAACACGTGATCCTCCTGCCTCAACAACCTGAGCCACTGGGATTATAGGTGAGCACCACAGCATCCGGCAGAATGTTTGTACTTTTTGATATGGTTCTGTCAAAACAGTTACTCATCAAAATATTCCTTATCTTTCAGTGGACACATCAAGTTGACCCCATCACGTAATTCTTATTTTAAAGAGCTGCTATTAAATTTTGCTCTGGATTCTCTTCTCACTTTACTCCTGCCACACTTTATTAAAACCTTTATTTGGGGCTGGGATTGTGGCTCAGTGGTAGAGTGCTTGCCTAGCATGTGCAAGGTGCCTGGTTCGATCCTCAGCACCACATAAAAATAAATAAAATAAAGGTCTTGTGTTTTGCTACAACTAAAAAAATAAATAAATAATTTTTTAAAAAAACCTTATTTACTAGTGTCTGTCCTCACAGATTACCACCAAACAGAATGCTTTTTGTCACTAAGTACCTTCCGTCTAATGCTACTTTCTCCTAGAAAGAGAAAGCAATGTTCTCTCTCTCTCTCTCTCTCTCTCTCTCTCTCGCTCGCTCGCTCTCGCGCTCTCTCTCTTTTCCAGTTACTTAAATGTATCTCCTTTGAGGTTTCAGAAGAATTAGTTTCTCATTCCATCCCTCCCAAGACGTATGGTAGTAGAAGGGCCCAGGGCTGTTTAAGAGTAGGACATCTCATATGCAACCATCAATTTCTATTACTGGGCACTGGAGAAGGCAGGCAGATGTTCTTCCAGTTAATGAATCACTGGACCCCAAGGAGCTATATCTGAATCTGAGAGAGACAACTGCATGTCACCCAGACATACAATTTAAGTGGGGTGCAGTAGCCAGATGGGACTGGGGTTGTCTTCCTTGGGGTGGGAATGAGCATATCAATGAGAAGAATTAACATGGAATTTTAGTGGCTAGATAAGTAGCAGACACTACTGGATACCCATTAAAATGTTATCTCCTCCTCTTACTATATAATATATCCCTTTGGAATGGGATTTCCTAATGAGGAACTGTATTTTCCTGGTTCTTTTTGAAGCTATGCATAAATTCATTATTAAATTATCACCAAGGAACAGAAGAAGAGAAAATGTGAGCAACTTTGACCTAAACTTTTTAAAGAAAACATCTTGATCTAGTCTTCTACTCCTTCTCCTTTTTTTTTTTTTGTTTGTTTGTTTGTTTGTTTGTTTGGAATGTTGATAACCAGACTTCTGGAAGCCAGGAATTGAAGTTGATAGGTTTGAAATAGTCAGGGACCTCCATCCATGGAAAAAGGACCCTTTAGGACTAAGGGATAGACACCTTAGGGGAAATAAGACAACCCAGCTAGCTCTCAGTCTTATGGGGTTAACAGTTGTACTAAAAAATTACAAGTTAAAAGTACACCAGTCTTCAAGACCATGGGAGTGAATAACATACCAGGAGACAGGAGGCTGGGAAAGTCATCTCAGCCTCCTGAGACTATGTGGTTAACACATAGGCCAGCTAGGCCAGACAAAGCAAGGTCTGCACTATTCTGAAAATATTAATAACAGTCAAAAACATGAAAAAATGTTCTTCAACATCTCTAACAATTACAGAAATGCAAATTAAAACTACGCTGAGAGTCCATCTCACTTGAGAATAGTAATTATCAAGAATACAAGTAACAGTAAATGTTGGCGAGGCTGGGGGGAAAAAGGTTCACTCACACATTGCTGGTGGGACTGCAAATGGGTACAACCACTCTGGAACGCAGTATGGAGATTCCTCAGAAAACTTGGAATGTAATCACCATTTGACCCAGTAATCCCATGCCT